TTGTTAGCTGAATATTAACCTGATACACATGACCTTTTCTGTACTCCCTGCATATTAGCAGCAACTCAGTCACATAAGATATTGAAATGATAACAATGAAGTTGTCTGAAGATCTTTATTTTTTTATACTGTTTACACAACACACACACACACACACACACACACACACACACACACACACACATACACACACACATATACTGCCTGTTGTAATGAGTAAAGAGGTTTTGGTCACAGGTTGTCTACCATATATCACGATACGGTTCAATCACAGGCTCAGAGGCTATGCTAACTTGGGCGAAGCACTCAAAAGCACCAAAGCTGTAGGTTAATGATGCATAGGTCACACACATTGTGAGGAAGTCTATTAGCAAGCTGTTGGATGAAAGTCTCTGCTCACTGGAATTATAAGGAAATTAAATAAGTTTACTAAATCAACAAATACAGGATGCCTGTGTTTGATTTGCACTCCTTTAGGTCCAGTAGATTCAAATTTACTTTGCTTAATAAGTATGCAGGAGTTTGTTTTTACCGACATTGGTGCAGAGATCAGAAGTTACACCGTTATACGACTGAACAGTGGTATTTTGATCATATTTAAATTGAGGTTTCTGTTCCTCTCATACAATGCTGGGTTTCCTCCATCCGAAGAGATGAAAAAACACTGTGAAGCCTCACTGTAGAAGACCATTGAGAAAATTGCAGCAAAGGCATTGATCCTTTGAATAATAGCTACATGACAGGTGTGATGATCATTGCAGAATTGCTTCTCCTCAGAGAGAGACACAGAGACTGAGAAGGAGATGGTCTGACCTGACCACCTAACCAGCTATGAAATTAGAGGAAAATAGAGAAGCAAAAGAAGCGGAAACACTCAAAAGTTACAGACATTGTTCTGGACCACTTGTGCGTTACATGATTATGATTTGGCCAGCGCTAAAAAAAAACAACTAGAGCCTGTGTGGTCCACGCACCAGTATTGACTGCAATGAGTCACCTTACAGCGTAAACAACAGATCTTAGAGCCAGCTGAGGGGTTTTGAAAATTATCCAAAATCCACAGAGACAAGCATCACAGCCACACACACATCACACACATAGTACAGACGGTGTTTACCACGTGGGAGGCGGAGGGACCGAGGGCGCGTGACCAACAGACGGTGGGGCCAAACACACCTCAATGAAATATTCACTGATCATTGATGGAGAGGTGAGCAGTCAATGGCAGCAATGATGCAAGAAATTACACTGTCTCATGTTTGGAAAAATGTTTGATGTGTCTCAGCACTTAACTTCGCTGTACATGCCCTTTAAGCATTCAGCCTTAAACTTTTGCCATCATGAAAAGACATAGTCATTTTGTAAACTAGAGTAAAAATTATATAAATGATCTCCACATGTTTTATTATGCGTCTCCTGAAGGTACAGAAAGGCAATTAATGAACTGTGGAATTACGGTTCTCATCCACAATTATCTATTTACTAATCATATTTAACTATATTGAAATAAACAAAAACTACTATTTAAGTATCAGTCAACATCCACATCTTGACACCTGAACTGATGATACAAATATGACACGTTCAACTTTATGCCTGCAACTGTGCCCACATCAAACGAGAACTTAGATCTGCATTATAACTATAAAGGAGCAGGTGCTGATGGACACTTGGGCTGCTTAAAAAAAAAAGAAGGGCCAGATCCCCTGCTGAAGAGATGCAGTACCTAAATCAAAAGCTTGGCTCAGAGGGGAAAGGCTTGTGCAACAGTCACCAAAGTGACCATGTTTGGTTATTTCATATCAGCTGGTTATAATCTCTGAGAGAGGCGTACCTGTCATGGGCTGCAGCCCCAGCAGAGACAGTTATAACTCACAACAATGCTTTTTAAGAATGCATGGTAACTCCTGAATGCTGCAGTGCACACTCCTATAGCATTTCCAATTCAAGACATTTCATTACACCTTCAGCCCAGATGTGATGAGCTGTGATGAAAAATGAATGATTGATAGGGTGCCAGATGTTTGGAGCCCTTTACCTCTGGATCTGTCAGAACACAGAGCACTAGGATGGCCAGTGAGAGGAGACAGTGGGCTGAATAGAAAATGAATCTCATAACGCATCAGATAACATGATGTGGCCCAGGTCCAGCCTGAAGCTTGGCCCTGCACTGCGAGGGGTCCAGCAGCAGAAGCTATGCAGACCACTGATTAGACACATCCAAGCTCTGAGCTACGGGTCTGAGAGAGCGTGCAAAGCTCAGGTATAGTGATGCGGACTGCGGTGCATTCATTAATAGAGTAAGCTACACACATCACCCTGCCTGCATAGGCTACACGGTGGAAAATGGACGCCTAGCATCAAGCGGCCGGTACAGAGAAAACTCAGTGGAGTGGAACACAAATCACACATTAAGACACAGAAATACCTCCTGATCGTGGGACAAGTAGCCGGTCATTTCAGCACATACAACAGATAGTTTAACCCGAATACCTACGGTGCGGTTGCAGGGAGAGCTTCAAACGAGCTATTATAAGGGTTTAATTTGCATAATAGACGTTGCAGTCGCTAATTATAGGCCCACGGAAATAGGTGGGAAAATTATCATTCAGTATTTAATCAGAGAGGTGACAGAAGTCTGAGAATTATTATCATTATTTTTTGCCCTGTAAATTCCGTAGTCTACACTGTCAGTAGTGGGCTAAGTTGCAAGCAACGTGAAACAAATCAATGTGGCGTGTAAATTACACTGGATGAACAGTGATCCATTAAGCTGCGAAGTAAAAAAAAATACACAACAGTGACACCGTCCTAATTATAATCATTGAAAGAAGCTTGTAGAGGTCTTACCTGCAGGCTTTTTAAAAAATTATTTCAGAGATTCGCAGCGCGTCGCACTCGCAAAGAGAAGGAGATGGAGGGAAAAAAGAAGATAGGGGGTGGACTGTAGATGGGCTAAATAGAGGGTCGATCGAGGCACAAAATAAATAAATAGAAAGGGATGAATTTAGAGTTGATGAAGCGCGCGAGGGAATGGGTTCTCAATTCCTGATAAAATGTAAACCAGCCAGTGATAGAAAAGGGTTGAACATGCATAAAAAAGGGCTATTACAAAACACGTCACTGAACACGGATTTGTCTACAGAGGATGTGGCCGCTGCTTGTGTGTACTCGGAGAGAATGCGTCTCCCCCTCCCCTCCGGTTGGACGAGCGCTCGCCTGCCTGTCTGCTCCTCTATCTTTTTCTCCCACACTGAGCCAGACGCAAGCAACTTGTCGCATCCCACCAAAACTCTCACTGATGTGAATGGTGACGGATAATGTCAGAATCGACACAAGATGAAATCTACTACAGTATGTTGTGCTATAAGACCCAGCGAAGGCTTAACCCCCCGCCCCCCACCTCATCTCCCCTCCTCTCTCTCTTCTCTCTCATATTGAGGGAATTGGTCTGGATGTGCTTATTGGAGCGTGTGCCGCGCGCGCAGGGCTGTGCGTTTGTAAGTAGCCTATTAAGCCAGTTTTTGTGTGTGTGTGTGTGTGTGTGTGTTTGTTATTGATGTCGTTTTAATTTCTTTTTCTTTTTTTTTGCTGTAGAGCGACTCGATGGCGCGCCAGTGGGACGCTTTTCCTCTGTGTGATGATGATGAGGATGAGGGCCGCGCTGGTAGTTCTGGGAAATGCAGCACGAGTGCAGCCCTGCAGAGACAGAGAAAGAGAGAGAGAGAGAGAGAGAGAGAGAAAGAGAGAGATGTTAAATATTGAAGTCAGATATCTACAGGTCAATATCAATACTGACTGAAATTAAACTGTACCATAATTGTGATAATTGACTAATATTTCCATAATTATTAGTACAATGACTTCAGTGATGAGGGATCTCGCTGTTTGTAATGTAGACCAAATTATGTCATCAACAGATCTATAACAGTGCGGCCAGTGGCTGAGCTGCTGGGAACACAGAGCAGTCAGGGGGCACAAAACTGAGCGGACAATGACCTTCAATAGCATTAAAATGGCTTTGCAGCCCAGTTCACACCCCCCCCCCCTCTCTCTATCTCTGTCACACACGCAAACATATACACAGAGAGGAGTGCGGGAGAGCTACAAAGAGCTAATACAGAGTGACAGGTCTTTCATGCAGTAATGGTGATGGTGAAAAGAGAGATCCACTCAACCCACACTGCCACACACACACACACACTGCCACACACACACACACACACACAAACCAAAGAAACAGACAAGAAAATATACACACAGGCCTGCACACACACAGTGAAAAGCACATTATTGCAGAAAAGTGGCCACACAACAACCACAAGTCACAATTTAATCTCAGCTGTTTACACCAGCAGTCGGGCTTCATTCATCAGGAGAGGCACTCACAAAACACACACACACACACACACACACACACACACACACACATATTTACACACACAGAGGAACCTTTCAGTCCTGGAAGTCAGACAGCAGAGTGCTCAGACTTTTTAGTTTTATTGACCTGTGGATGTTTGATGTTGGACTTCCTAATGTAACACCTCTCACTCTAACTCTGTTTCTTACACACTGACACCCATTATTATTTACTGTTTGCATCTATGGCATCATGCTTTCAAATTCCATTTCGTTCTGAGCTAAATCTGAGACTGGAATCATAGTTTTATGTGATATATATTTGTGTTTTGCAAATGGTCTCATTTCAATTGTATTTTATCTCTTTTTAATGTTTCCCTTGTTGCAGGCTGTTGCTCCAAATGTATTATTAGTTCACCTACATGACTCACTCCTTCACTCTTCTGACTTTCTGACCTTGACCAAAAACAGGAACTTATTTTGAATGATATAATACCTGAAGATATTTATGTAACACAGACCAAGTTTTACAGACAACCATTTAATTTAAGTGTAGTTACTTTATATTACAAATTACAATTTTCTGTTATTGTTGAGTCTCAGGCAGGTTATGATAAACAACTAACCTTCATGCATACGAAAACACATATGCCAACCAACGCAGTCACGCACTAATGCATACACATATACAACACTCTGATCAATGTTGCCCTCAGGCTGTGGTGGCTTGCCGTGACTGAGGAGGCAGCCTGGTTAACACCCAGTGGTTCACCGCAGTGCAGTGTGCATTCACTCACAATGGTTCCCTCCATCACAGAGACCAGCCAGAAAAACACTCTAAATGTATCATATTATCATGCTGAGCTTATATCACTACTGTTTAAAAATGAGGGCATATTGTTCATTTCTATTCTTATGATGCAAACCCTTTAGCACAACTGACTAATTAAATAGAAAGGATATTGAAACATTCACCAACAAAAAATATACGGATGTAAACCCAGAAGCAGATAACTAGAGAGGGCAAACAGGGTGCAATTAACCCATGTTGAAAGTTTTATTCATGTTTAGAGGAAAGCGAGTGACAGATGTCAACACTTTCAAGAACAGTGATCTTATCACAGTTGCTATTGATTAATATAACTCAAGATTATACAGCATCAGTTCCATTGAAGCATCGAAAAGCAGTTGTTTTACCCATTTTTTCTTTACAAAGATGATCACGTCGAAGAAGTCTAGACTTTATGCAGAAGCAAGCACAGCTACACCCTTTTATGTAATCATGTAGAGGCAAAGGACACAAAATCTGGGGGTCGAGAGGGAAAAACAAAGAGGTACAGAGATGAAAAAGAACTGCCGCAGTTTAAGAGGCAACGAATGATTATCAAAATAGTTCTACAAAAGGAAATTAATTAAAGGAAGAAACAGGAATGCTTCTCCACTGTCCACAGTCACAAAGGTCATGATGGGGTCAGCAGTAGTCTAAAGTTTAGAGAGGTGGATTTCAACCAGATTGGCTGGGAAAATCTAGAAAGGGAAATACTTTGATCTTCTTCAACAGCTACTGCTGATGTGCCCATGAGCAAGGCACTTAACCCCTTAAGTGCAACAGTAGAACCAACAATAGAAGGCTGCATTTACACTGGGCTTCACCTAAAAATGAAATTGTGTAGCTGCATAAACAAAAAGCAGGGCGGTGCTGAAAAACCACATGCTTGTTCAACAAAACCCTGCATAAAGGCAAAAACGATGACGATACGATGATATATCCATGAGCTCACTTTCTATTCTCCACTGTAAGTCTTGTCTACTGCTTCGGCAGGTCTTCAGTGGGTTTCCCTCTCTCCAGCGTCACAGTGATAATGAAAACCAGCCATACTACAATGACACAGTGGTTTAATTCTCATTACAGAGATATAGCATATCCCTGTACCTTACAAACAAACAAACAAAATAAATTATTCTAAACTAAAGCATGACTGTTTGATACACAGGTCTGCTTGTCTTGAGAATAATTCATATTCAGGATAAGCAACTAAGAGCAACTTAATCAGAGCGTCCAGGTACTAGAGGATCTGAAAATACATGTTACTTACTGCAAAACCCCCTACAATATACCCTATTTGGTGCCAAAGTAGGGTAAAACAATCAACAGTGTCCTATACAGCCGGCTACATTGTGATGTTATTGGAAGTGCGACTCGGACCCATGTGGGATTGTTCGAAAGTCCTGACACATTTTATTAGAACGAGAAACTTTCCTTCTTTGAAATACTGTGAAGGTATTTTTTTTTTCAAACATACCTTTTCTGGAAAGTACTGTAACACATTTAGAGCTGCAACAACAAGCTGATTAATCAATTAGTCCATCAACAAAAAGCAATTAGCTCTATTTTGATAACAGATTCATTATTTTTAGTAATCTTCCAAAAACAAGGGCAAACACTGAATCCAGTTTCTTAAATGTGAGGATCTGAAGCCTTTGTATGTTATATATTGTAGAATAATTAATACCTTTTGGGTTTTGGACAGTTGGTCTAATAAAACAAACAATTTGAACACATCACCTGTGTTCAGTCACTACATCACTACAATGGGCACTATTTTCTGACATTTCAGACACAAAACGAAAATCAAGACAATAATCATCAAATAAACCGATAAAGACAATAATGATTAATTGAGCCCTAAACATAAGAATTTTCAGACACTCTAGAAACCTTTGGCATGATGCGCTGCCACAAAAATATTGGAATAAAGCAGTGGTCTCTACTTTGTCTATGTACTGTCAAAAACAGAGGACCTGCATTTCATAAACAGTGGAATTGTCCTTTGAGCAATAAGTGCAAATGTAATTAATACTTTCATCATGTGAGTTTTCCAGATATATAAACAGTACTGAAGCTTTAAAAATACTTCTAACAAAGTCTTTAAGCATACAAGCATTTATCTTGATCCATGTACGGTTCAAAACAGGACATCTCTTTGCACCTGACATTCACCATAACTCATCCTCTGGATGGACGACAGCTTAAGTCCAACTCATCTGTGCTAGACCATCAACTGACACACAGTGACGGTCAGTGAGGAAGCAAGAGAGCATGGGAAGATAGTGAACTGGTGGGCCCAAGGGCTGGTCCATGGTCAGTGCAATACAGTGGCCAGTAGAGGGCATCAGAACCCCGCATCAGTGTCGGGTGGTTCCTCCTTCAAACCAGCGTGCGCTGCATCCAGAGGGTGTTAATGGTTGTAGTACGCCTGTTGCAGAGTCTTTATCCAAAGCAGAATGAGTCAGACATTTTCTTGATGTGACTTGTGCCAAAGATTCATTCATAATTTACAACAGCTATACGGAAGTCCTCGTGTGCAGTTTTATGTACAAGAAGTTAGAAATTTGTATCTTAAACAAATGTTTTAAACATAAAGTTGATTTCTCCTTATGCTATTTTGGAATATCATCCATTTCTGCCTGCATTTTCTACATTACAATTATCAACATTCACATACAGTGTTCCTCTTTTCAGAATTGCTCTATTGTTAACTAATAATTTTTAATTCATATTATTAATAATACTTTGACATTGTGAGTTATGAAACTGCACTGATGATGTAAGAAATTCAGAGAAGACAAGAATATATTTGACCACATTTACCTTTAGGTAAAAAGGAACATAGTCCATATACTGGCATGAATTATGTATGTATAAAACTATGTGCATCCTCAGTTTTTGTGATCAGTGTTTTGCATTGTACATTTCCAAGTGCATACAAATTTCCCGCAGCACTGCAGTATCTCCGTATTCTACCGCAGCCCCTCACTCTCCCTGCCTCACTCTCCCTCCCCTATATCTCCTCTGTCACTCAACCTAACCTCTAAAGTCTTTCTAGGAAACACTTTGACAAACTGAATCCACGTTTTCGTTTTCAACTCTTCTCTGTCCGTCAAAGTTTCTGTAAAATCTCCAAAGCCACCTTTGCCCTTGGTTCATATTGTTCCAAAGCTACATCTTTTTATGTTTGATCACCTCTTCCTCCACTTCTTCTCACACGATCTGTGCTCCAAGCTCAGCATTTACTCTCATCCATCATCTAAATGTATTGTATACATGATTATTAAGAGTCAGTGTCTCTCCTTCCCTCCCTCTTCCTAACATGGGGAGGCACTCATGTGCATGTGTGTGTGATAGTGAGGTGGAGGTACAGGCGATGGCGGCATGGCCATGGGAAGAGCCTGGCCTTGGGGATGTGAGGAGTGCGACCTGGGCAGGGTGTGCGTGGAGGGGTAACCAGCAGACTGCGGGGGCATTTGGTAGCTCCCTGTGTAAGAAGACCCAGAAGGCGGGCTGCCCTGGCCGCCCTTTTGGGGGTTGCTTTTGGGCGGCGCTGGGGGTGCCTGGTTGAGCTGAATGGAGATGTCACTGGAGGCTATGGAGACACTACGGCCTCGCTTTGGCGGAGGCCAGGAGGATTCTGGGTGGAGGTACTGGCCACTGTAGTCACTGCTCTCGGACAGGCGGGGACGGTAGAGTGCAGGGTGGGGGCGGTACATCTCTTCCTCTGCGTAGCGCTTCATAAACAGATAGACTGACATTACCCCGGCCCCCTGAGACAGTAAGTGAGAAGAGGAAGCATGAAGAAAGAGCAGGAAGAGATGTGGGGGAGATAAGATGCGACAGGGAGAGAGGGACTCAGTTACGTAAATAATTTGAGTTCAGAGACAAATACATTTTCATAGAAATAGTAACAAGTGATGTTGGGGAGATTTAAAGGTGGAGGTGGAGAGGTGTAAGCATGTGCTTTTGATTAATAAGGATTTAGAAAGATGGCGTTCTTTTAAGCTCATATAAGAGAGACTGAAAGGGAAGGGAAGGCAAAGAAGGAGATAAGGAGAGGTTAGAGGAGGGGAGGAGGTTAGTTCACACTGAACTGTCAACTGCAGCACATTAAGAGCAGTGTTGCTGCTGATGATGGCAAAGAGGCAGAGGGGGCGGAGGGGTGGCGGTGGGGGTGAGCAGAGGATTCATGTGAAAATGCACCATGCATGGATGCACACACGGACACACACAAACACACACACACACACACACACACAAACCCTGCAGTTCTGCATCATAAGCACTGATACCTCCCATTATATAGCCATCATCTTACCTGCTTGCACACTCACCATGCAGTACTCTACAAACATACACACATGCACTCATTCTCCCATTCTCTTTCACATTTTTTTATAACTTACACAGAGAGAGAGATAGGGAGAGAGAGGGAGAGTGAGGGAGAGAGAGAGGGAGAGAGAGAGGGAGGGAGAAAGGCCAGACTGACCTCTTTGAGTAAGAAGGAAGAGGCAGCGAAGGCGAAGGACCAGCCATAGTGGTAGTTGAAGAACTGCTCTGGCTCCCTAGGCCGGTTCATCACCTCATCATTAATACTGGAGATGTAGAGCACCAGGCCCACCACCAGACTGAGGCCTGCACACATCACATTAACAATGACAGTGAGTAAGAGAGAGAAAGAATGTCTGATACAAGAGAGAGAGCGCGAGGAGGTCATTAAATAGCAATCCAGACAGCTGCACCAGTGTGGTGAGGGTTTAAGAGACAGAGACAGAGAGAGAGAGTGATGGGATGTGGAGTGACAACGCCAAGCAATTAGCCACCAAAATGCTAACATTAATAAAGAGATGGGAGGGAGACCAGAGAGAGAGAGTCATTATGTTACACAGCTCAGACAGATCGTGGTTATGGTTACTTGTTAATAAAGTGAACTTGTCCTGTCTTGTGTTTTAAGTCACTATATTTAACCAAGGCATGATCTTTCCTGAACCTTAACCATAACCATAAGTTTTTTAAACTGACAAAAAAAGTCAGTTAAGGTTAAGTTGACGTTCTGAATGAACATTTTTTGACCTGGCAGGTATCGTCTATGAAGAAAAGAGTAACACCTGCACACTGATTTCAAACCCCAAATCCATTTATTTAAGTAGACAACATTCTGCAGTCAGATGCGGATTGGATCATAAAACATTCATTAAAACTTTTTCTCATTATGGTGATTAATAACATAATTCAGTGGCATATTTGCTGTTTCCTCTCAAAGCATATTTGCTGTTTGAAATTTGTAGTATATGTTTATGTAATTTCTAGGAGACAGGGTTGCCTGCAGATATCCATTAAAACTAAACTATTTTCTTCCTTCACTTATCCCAAGAGCAAAGTAGCTTTTAATTTAATTATCATATTGTAATGTCACATTTTGATTACTGTGTGAGCTTGCACATTTCTAATTAGGTTCTTCTTGAAAATCACAATTAAGATATGGTTTAAAAAAGAGAGAGAGATAAAGATGTGAAGGAGGTTAAAATGTGCCAGTGGCTCGAAACAGACCATTTAGTAAGAAGCATGCACTGTAAACTTTAGCGTGTTAAAGGACAAATGGAAAACCAGAATTGGCTTTATGGGTGAAAGAATGCCTCTTTTCACCCAGAAGCAACACATACAACATTTAAACGCCCCTTTCCTCCAAGAACACTCACCCTGCATTAGACATGTTAAATGCATGAGATACAACATATGGCCAACATTGAAGAATCAATATTCAAAGAAAGCCGCTTGCCGTAAGCAGCAAATATGAGTATTTTTAGCTTTCACTGCAACATTCAAATGTACCACAGGGCTGTCGAGCGGCTGTGTCCTACACGTAAACGGCTTAAGTGGTTGTGCTGGCGATTTTAAAACTGAAAAATGTGGAAACTGCAGAAACCATGCTGCTGTCAGTCATGCAGTGGAAGTACATCTTTATCTCAATAAGTAACACCAGCATGCAAAGGAACACTAAGAGCAGGTGGAGGAAAAGAAAGTGTGCGTGTATGAGACAAAAGGGAGGAAAACTAGAGGTAAATCGTGTGTCACGTGCATATGCAAGATGTCTGTGGTGTGTCTAAGGGAGAAACAAAAAGTGTGAGAGAGAGACAGGGTACGAGAGCAATATCATCCTCTAGTCATCCTTGAACAGCTGTGGCTCCATGCCGCTGCTGTGAATCCTGTAATATCAACCAGAACATGACCGACCCAAACTGCAATATTTACTAGAACACCGTGTCAGTCATGCCAGCAGAATGAGCTCTTATCACTCAGTGGACCACAAAAACCACCACATCCACAGTGACTCAGCCTACTGAAAGAATATACTCTGAATGAAGGAGAGTCTAGGAAAAGAGAGGAAGGACTGAGAGGGGGGAGAAATAGAGAAAGCAAAGAAAACTGAGAGGCTGGGTGAACAAGAGACGGGGGAGGCAGAGGGAGGAGGGGTGTGAGTAGGGAGGGCAAGACAGGAAGGCAATGTTGAGAGAGAGAGGGGCTTAGTGCAGCAGAATATCTAACCGCTGAAAAGCAATTTGATACACTTGCCCCTTGTTGTCACCCTATTATCAAAATACCTCATAAAGTAAAACACTGCGATACTTCCAGCACAGGCTATAAACATTACATAACCCCATTACATAACACCTATTATTTTGCTCTACCCTTTATCAGCAAGTCCCTGCTACGGCAAGTTGGCGCTGTCGCGGCAGACTCTGTTTGATGTTCCTCTGAGCTCTGCAGCGCTGCTTCTTTCTCAAACACATCAAGTGAAACAGCCTTCAGAGAACAGGAGCTCCAATTTGGCTCCTGACTGTCTTTACTACACACACTGAGGGCAATAAATGGGAGCATTACTGCCACCTGCTGTTCAAGAAGGTTAACTACACTGATGCAGAAAACCAAGCTGAAACACCTGCTTTTGTTACTGTGGGAATATATTGCATGTATTTTTACAGGTGTACATCATATAAATACAAAGAAAGAATCACATAAAGCCTGTTTTATTCCAAAGTAATGCAAAGTCAAAAGAGAAAACTCTTCCCCTGCAGGAGTCTTTAAACCTGATCCAGTCACCTTTTCTGATGACAGCCTTCACACCTGCATCATACACTAAAAATAGCCTTGATGGAGTGTCTCCATGTGTGACAGAGGACACACCGGGCTACTGCAATCAATCACAGTGTGACAGTGGGACATGAGCAATGGGTCCCACCTGACAGGATGAAGAAGATGCCGGACACAAAGGCCAGGATGGTGCGCTGAGGCCGGATGTGTCCAATGTTACTGATGACAAAGGCCGTGAAGACAAAGAGCAGCGACACCATCGGGAAGGGCGTGGCTGTCCGCACCATCTCTGTAGGGAAGAGAGTTCACAGTGTTAAACACAGCAGTCTTTAAACTGCTGAGAAAGGTGAATGATAACGTCTCTGGAGCTTAAAAAGCCTTAGTTAATGCATCAGAGGCAGTAAAGTCTATGATAGAAAGTATGCTCAGCTATGTGGAGATGCCTGGGGGTAATGTCTACCACCAAAACAGGGAGATGGCAAACAGCATTCTTTTCTTACATGGCATTATTTTTAGTAGAATAGTAGAATTGGTTTTGAAATATTGACATAGACATTTTAATTTATTTTTAGACATATCTTTGTTTATGAGGACGATCTGGCACTTCTAAATCACTTCAATGTAGTTTTTTCTGATTACTGTTAAAGAACAAGTGTTACTACAAAGGGCTGCTGCAGCTAACCATGCTTTTAATTATCGATTAATCTGACAATTATTTATTCGATTAAAGGTTTAGTCCATAAAACATCAGAGTCCATTAGAGTTTCCCAGAGACCAAGGTGACATATTCAGATATCTTGTTTTGTACAACACACAGTCCAAAACCTAAAGACATTCAGTTTACTGTGATGTAAAAAAAAATGAAAACATCCTAACATTAAAGAAAATTTTGGCAATGTTTTTTCAAAAAGGACTCTAAATGATTAATCCATCCATCATCAACCGCTTATCCTGTGTACACCCTGGTCAGGTCACCAGTCTAAATGATTAACTGATTGTCAAAATAGGTGCTTATTATTTATATTATATTTATTTATATAATTAATTTTACTGTTCATTAGCTAATAGTAGCAGCTCTAATATTATGTTCAATTTTCAGCACCCAAATCAATCGGCAGGGGCACTCTGCAGTTACTCACAAATGCAGACTCACATATAGTAGATAATGTGCTGTTATATGTTTTACTTACTGAGAATATTTGCAGTGTTTTCGGTGGTGATCTCTATATCGGGTTCAGTGAAGTACTCTGACGCAACACATCTCCCGTTTTCTGCTCCTGAGAGGAAACACAGACACAGACACACGGGGGGGGGATACTGGGGTTTGCTTTTAGGATCAAAATCAATGATGCATGACGAAACAAAACCAAACCAAAAAAAAGCATGTGGGTCTGTGCAGTCCTGCTCACAGGTAACAATCATGTTTTGTGACAGCTATGATTCTAGAGGCCAGAAGCTCGCTTTCTCTTTCTTTTTTCCCTTGCTGCTCTCTCACTCAGCTGGTTTATTCTATCCATTTCTGTGTATTTGTCGCTGTGATGATGTGGACACATGCAGCGGCATTGTTTGGTGTGTGTGTGTCAGAAATGTGCATGTGTATCTGTCTTCTACAGTTGTCCTTTAATTTTTTGAATGTGAATGTTGTTGTAGCTTCCTACCAGCCACGAAGCAAACTCTCCAGAGGCCTGAATGCAGCGCCATCTTCACCTCCATGCTCTGGTTCTGCTGTAGGATGATGCCCTCCACCATGATCAGCCAGTAGTCTGTAGACACGGCCACCCCCACCAGCAGCAGCCCGCAGGCTCCAAACACTGTGGATAGGATGGTCAACGCACGGCTGCTGCACGAACTCATCTGGAGGGCGAAACCAGGGAGTTAAGAGTGTTAGAAGAGAAGGGGAATTACACATCAAAACTGCAGGGAGACATAAATGTAGGGACATTTGCAAGGGGTCATGAAGGGAGGTCATTAAGGGCGAGGAAACACTGAGACAGACATGTGATGCACACACACGCAAACAGCTACTGGCTGTCTTCATGTCACGCCTTGTTATTGCTAAAGATGTGATAGTGATACATCCGGTGGCGACCAATCCTGTTAAGTCAGAGAGGAGCCATTGCAACAGATGATGACTTCACGGTAAACCTCAAGTCACACAAGCATTTAAAAAACTGAGGGATAGATTGAAGAGACACACCACACATGCACACACAGATCAGGAAAGGGAGGAGAGGTCCTACGTGACTCAGACATTGTCTTTCTGTGACTTAGTTCTGGTTCACCAGGGAAAGAATTCACTGCATATCCTTTGAGCTGCTGCCTGTTTGCATTTGTGAGTTTTCATGCACGTGTATGTGTGATTGTTCAGCCACTAGCCTCTGCTTAATTTGGGCCGCTGTTCAGTATCATCAACTTGACAAATAATGGAGAAACAAATGCACATGGAAAACACAGAGCGGGGTTGCTGTTTACTGTAATCACCCTCATTTAGTACAGCTTACCTGTCATTTCACCTCATATTTTCCTTTATAAAAGGTTAGCTTCACTTGTGCTTGATTATTTTCAAGTGTTGTGTTTGTATCTGAGTATAATGGACTTACTGTTTTATGCTAATTTACATGGTTTTCCATATATGGTATATACACTAGAGTTTTATGCTATGTTTTAATTTGTTTTGTTTTATCAGCTTACCCAGGTTTATACACCTGGTGGTCATTTAATTAGGTTTTGCTAGCTGGAACTATAGGACCACCTTTCATTCTTTCAGCAGGAGCTTTGCCTATGATGATAGCATCTCGCAGTGGCTGCAAATTATTTTGTGGGTGCACGTCTGCTCTGAATATCACATTGTATCGGGCTCAAAAAAGCTCAAAGAGCCCAATTATGGCCATGAAGCAATGCGCCCGCTCTCCAACAAGGTGTAAACACACACTGACATTCAATCCTCAGCCATTCAAAACTGCAATAGTGGCCCAGTGAGTGGCTAGAAAACGTTTCCAACATCATTAAACATATTGTGCTGTTTACAGCCTGAACTGTGGACAAGAGGCAGCATGGAGCTTTTACACCAAAGTCTGACCCTCACTGTCACAAAGTAACTGATGTTTGTTGTAGCAGGAAATGTTTTTCGCTCCTCACTTGTCTGGTTTGGGCGATCATATAACTACTCAAGCTACACCCTCTTGTTCTTACGGTGGCTGACAGGAGTGAACACAGGCATGTTCTTCTGCTGATGTAACACAGCTGCTTCAGGTTTGAAAAGATGCGTGTTTGAGCTTTTTCCTCCTCTCGGTTGTGCTGAGCTGTTATTTGAATATTTGTGGCCTGCCTGTTTTACTGTCATTAATAAAATATTCACAATGCTGCGGCTGATCAGATCATTCTATGTAAACCCTCCAGGCCAATTATTCAAAGGCACATTATTCACATCTAACACTTAGTCTAACAGATGCTGAACTTCTGTACAATGTCAGTTTCTTCTGGAGTGACTATAGTAAAATATATCATGTTTTTGGTAACTAATTAAGTGAACATCGATAAATTATCAGGCATTTAAAATGCCTTTGTCAACAGAAAAATGAATGTCAATTTAATGACTAAAACATGAGAATCACTTTATTTCTATTCCAGTCTTCTTTCTTTTTCTGACAAACCTTTGAGTCTTTTAAGAGCAGAGTTATAATAGATACAGTAATTCTATTGGGGAATAAACTCTTAAAGATTAAGCTTGGCCTCATTTTATCTGGAAAGCTATGGTGTGAGACGTGACCACTAAAGACGTTACTTCAGTTTCTATGCATACCCTGGGATGAATAGAGATTCTTTTGTTGAACGAGGCGTATGTGTAAGAACAGAGCTGGCTGGTGGTAAAGGGTACACATCTGAGAAATCCCTCTGAGAAATGACAAGTCCGAGCATTTTAAGGCTAAAAGAAGCACAGGGAGCACAGAGTGAGTTACAACTGGGACATAAAGATATATCAGAGAAGAAGTACTACCAGCCAGTGAAAATCTGGTCGGACAAACAAAAGTTACAAGATTTACAAATTGCAGGATACAAATTGTCACAAATGGCGATTTGAATGAATATGAAAAAGTTCCGCGTCGGTTCAATCTTGAATTTTCCTTCTTTTTTCCTCTTTAATCAGAGATTATGACTGGGTTTTGAATCATACCTAAGTGGCTGTTGCTGCTGGTGACATTGGGGCTGGATGACAAGAGTTTGAGAGAGCGTGATAGAGAGTTTCAGGTAGTCTCTGTAAAATCAAAAAACAACTCACTGACTGGGGGGGGGGGTTCAGGAATGAACAATCACACCTTCCAGCAGATGGAGGATGTGTCAAAGTGGTCAGGAAGGAGTGTGAATCAACTGGAGTTGCAACACAACAGAAATGAGTGGTTGTGCCCGAGTGGCTCTTCCAGACTTGTTCAGCACCACGGACAGCACCCACATCTCACTCATACAGAACACAAAACGGCATCTGACAAGATGAAACACATCCTGCTGGTTTAGAATGGATTTGGACACAAATGAGGGGCACAAATTCATTTGCTATGCGTGAATTGTGTTCACATCAGCCATCAAAACCCTCTCAAGAGCTGTTGCAGCTTTTGGAGAAAAAGCCATTGTGGATTTGGGATTGAGATTGAGTGAAAAACTTCCGATTGCCTGTTGGATTTGTGATAACTATCCCATTTCAGCGCTCTGAGACAGGCCCCTCAGCTCCCTCACCCTTAAAGTAAGCCAATTGAATTGGTTAGATGGGCACCACAAGGGGGACAAAAGGTTTAATTCTCTCTAATCTGTCACAATCTACAGACTGACATCACCTCTAAGCCCCACAGGAAAGACAGACACCAAGAGAAAGAGGGAGTGATGGATAAGAGGAGAGGATGTGGAGAGAACATCAAGCAGCTAGAACAGAGAACTGAGACAGGAGAGAGGAGGATGAAAGTATGTTCGGAGAAAGTATTTAAGGCAGGAACAGCATGCCTATATGAAACAGATATAGGTTAACACTGGGAAAGACCTTGGCCCAAAAAATGGAAGGAGTACCCAACATGGACGCGCACGGGGGGGATGCGCCTACACCTGTGCTAAACTAACCAACCTTGACTGTGCAGCGTCTCAAAATCTGCCTGAGACGACGATGAAATCACACAGTGGAAAATAAAATGACTTCATAACGAGTAAACGTGGATATCGTGACTCAGTGGGTGGGTTTTGTCATGATTTGTCAAAGCATTTCAGCTGCGCAGTCACACACACACACACACACACACACACACACACACACACACACACCCATCATTAACGCATCATTTTCACAGAGCCGAGCAGATAGTGAAACATTCAGTTCATATTTCTTGTAAACTACATACGTGAAACACGGGATCCATGTCAGTACAGTACTGACTAAGTGATGTGCGCATCGGATTGTTTAGCCTCCCCCCACCCCCCTTACTGTCACACACACTCACACGCGGAGTTTGGAGACGATAAACAGAGCAGAGAACATGTGAGCCACTCACATGCCACACACAAAAAAGGGATGAAATGGAAAAGAAGCGAAAGACTCGACTCTCAGGTAACATTAAACTGTGACGTTTTCTGAGCGCTCTCTCGCTCCCTCAAGATTAGCGGTTGTCTTTACGCTAAACAGACATGAGCACACGTTATGAATGCTGCTCTTTTCGCAGCTGCCGTCACACACACTTACACACAGATTTTAAAATGACTGAGTCAGGTTGAAAGGGCGTCATTGTCACAATTACTGCCAAGGAGCACACAACTGTAGTTATTTAAAAGGGGAAAATACTCACCCTGCCACGAGAGTCGTGCGCACACGTCAGTAGCCAAGAAAGCTCACAGCAGGGAGGCTTGGTGGATTTTGGTCTCCCTCTCTCTCTCCCCTTCTCTCTCCCCCTCTCTCTCCTGTGTGTTTTCCCTTAAGTCCCCTTACCCATCCTCTAAACCCCTCACTCTCTCTTTCACTCAATCTGTCCCAGGCACTGCGGTGGATTGGTTCAGCAAGCTACTTTGGCTACAAAAGAGACATAGAGGGAGCAGGAGGGAGAAGCGCTGTACAGAGCGTGCGCGAGAGAGAGAGTGAGTGAGAGATACGGAGTGAGTGAGAGAGAGTGAATTAGAGAGTGAGTGTGAGTTTTAGTGAGTGAGAGAGCGAGAGATGCTTTGTATGATGCTTTGGAAATATTGTTGTTACACATTCATGCCAATAAAGCTAATTTGAATCGAATTGAATTGAATTGAGAGACAGAACGTGTGAGTGAGTGAGTGAGTGAGTGAGTGAGTGAGTGAGTGTGAGAGAGAGAGGGATTGTGAGTTAAAGAGTGAGAGAGTGAGTGTGTGAGTGAAAAAGAAAGCTTTCCTTGAAGCTTTGGCAGTACTGTTGTCTTGACATTTATGCTAATAAAGCGAAATTTAAATTGAGAAAGAGAGTGAGATAGTGAGTGAGTGAGTGAAAGAGTGAGTTAGAGTTAGAGTGAGTAATTTTTATTTCTGGTGTCTATGAGTCTCAAACTGTTGAGAGTATGAAAACTGTTTTCATTAGTACTGTCTTCCTAACTTACACTGATACGGTGCTGTGTAAAGTTTGATTGATTCCTTGTCTCTTTTCTTACATGTTTAAATTATTTTAATTGTGAACCTCCTAAGCTTACAACTTGCTTTGGCAACACTGTACCTAATTATAATTACGCCAGTAAAGCAAAATAAAAACAAAAAAGTCAAGAGAGGTAGAAAGATGAGACAATGAGTTTGATTTGAAGTGTGGAGGCAATGCATTACACAGATTTACAGTATTTACAGTAAAGAATCAAGTATAAGATCACCTCTCCAAGTAGCTATAGTTCATTCAAGATTGTTTAGACACTTAAAGTGCAGATAAGTACCAGTAAATTGGCACAGCTAGTAACCTCTCTCTCTTTCTTTCTCACTTCATCCCTCTCCTCCTCTTCCTCTTGTCCCCTCCTCCTTTGTCTCCTGTGGTCCATGTCCCTTGGTCTATTTTTAGCTGGCTGGTGGAGTAATCCTTTATTTTTAGTAACGATATCAATAGTCTACAGCACACTCTGACCTCAGGGCATGAGCGAGAGAAAGGGAGAGAGAGGGAGGAGGACGGGTGGGAATGAGAGATCGAGGCGAGATAGAAAGAGAAGAGAGATAGAGGTAGAGGAGGCAGCAGTGAAGAAGAGGGATGGTATTATGTCACAGTGACAGTGAATGATGGACTGCACGCACAACTCCGACCAGAGAGTGCTCCAGGTTCAGTTACACAAAGGCAGATACTGTCAAGGTTGGAGTAAAGGTTGTGGCGAGGAGTTTCAAATCAGGCAGTCGACAGGCAACATCAGCTGTACATCATGTAAAAAAACACAGTGGCAGTTTCAGAAAAGTGGCATCAGATATTTAATTTTCTTTAAAATACCATACAAAAACCCCTCAGTACAGTGCTGTAGGTTAAAAACACATCACAGACTGTAAAAGAGTCTCATCTGCCTGTGCTACTTTAAGTTTGTCATCACAGGAGTCAATATAAAACATAAAAGCCACATTTCTTGACATGATTATTTGCATTTCATTTAGAATTATAACAACACAAAGAACATCAGGCTGTGTTTTATCCTCAAAATTGGGATGAAATCTTTTGAAAATAAACAACTGAATCTGTTGAAATCTGTCCAGAAAAATATGAGAAAACGTAGCTCAGGTAGGATTCCCCTCCATCTCATCTCTCTCACACTTTCACTGCCTGAATTCCGTCAATAGAGAATATAAACTGAGTGTAAAACAAATCATAATATTGACACAGAGGCCAAGATAAGACAAGATACACATATCAACGGACAGCAGTGGCGGGGAACATCAGAGCGATAATCGCAACAACAGTAAATTCTGACAATATGATTTATATAGAATGACACAGTAAAGCATTTACAGGGCAGCACTGACAGAAAAGACAGAAGAAGAGATGAAGGGCAGATAGAGAAGAAGAGAGGGAGGTAGAGAGTGAAATGGGAAGTTGATGAGATTTTAATGTGAAGGTCAACTTGTTATAACTGTGATCTCTATGGGGATATTAGTCCCATTATGATGCTGGAGGGGATGGAGTGGGGAGGGAGGGGGTCAAGGTGAGCAGGGCTGAAGAGGAGGGTGAAGCATCTTCAGAAGAGGAGGTTGGAGTGAAATTGAGATGCCTGAGTGGTGGTTTTGTTGGTTCGACAACTACAGCACCACAGTAAATACAGGGGTCAGCATCTTCTGTGTGTGTAAGAGTGTGTGTGTGTGTGTATACACATGCTTGAGATTGCACTTTTGAGTGAGTGAGTATGTGTGAACGTGATGGAGAGGGAGTGAGCGTGACAGAGAGGCGTGTGAAGACAAAGCGAGAGGCTGTGTATGTTTGTTTCTCAGCGGCTTCGCACAAAAAAACCCAAAACAGAATGAAACAGTTCTCGTTTCATGATTTTTTTTTTTTCAGTAAGTTTATTTGGATGTTCTTTTTCCAGCACATGAAAACAGATGTTAACTCAACAGATACATAAATCATCTATTGTATTATCTGTTATTGATTGTATCAGCTATGGTGTTGAAGAACTGTGTATTGTGACATTTGACTTTCACTCAAACTGAGCAAAGGCAATAAGATGAACTGCTCTGACCTTTCACAGTTGGCCACTATTACACACACTACTACACACGCAGTTAAAGCAAATCTGCATGATTTTGCTCCTCTGGATGAGAAATGGTAACAATTATCATTTTGCTGACACAGATTATAAACATAAAAAATCATAAAGATGTTTTAAGCAAAAATCAAACTGCTTCCTGTGTGAACCAGCTGGTTTGTGAGATAAGAACACTGAAATGTGATTATTAAACTGTATGTTTGCAGCCACCTACCCTGCTCAGATAATGTTTAATGACAGCTCTGCTATTATCTTTCCATGTATTGAACAGTCTCAGTGAGCCTCACTTTTAATTACGCCTAATCAATGCTGTGATTGCGTCATTACACAGCAATAAGCTTTATGGTATACACCACAAAAATAATAATAAGTACGTGTCCCTGTATAAGCTTTTCGCTTCAGCTGGAGAAAACATCATTAAAAGGCATATTTTATAAGACTACAAAAGCATATTTCATTGCAGTTGTAGGAGGTCATTAAGGAGCAGTATACTGTATTTTGTGGTTAGGCCTAATTCTAATTCTAATTCCTTGTCAGCTTGTCCAAGAATTAAAGAGAAAAGAATCACGTGTGAATAAAAAGAAATGATGCAGCCTAAACTGCGGCAGTAATGTGAGGACTTCCTACCAGTGATAATAGAATCAGGCAGAGTGGGCATGAGCTGCAGGGCAGCACTGTAACCTACATTAACTGTCACATTAACTGCGCCCGCTGCATTGTTTCAGCATCTCCGTGGGTCATCTGAGGTCACTTGCGTGACGTTACACTGAGAGGTCTAGCCTCTTCCACAGGATTCCAGTCTAATAGAAAAAAAGGCTACTGGCACTGTTTGCGTCATAGTCACACACTCAGAGTGAGATAAATATTTAGAAAGACACATTACAGTGCTTCTGATGCTGAATTACTTTACTGTGTATAAACGCAATGTTCCACTGGAATATATCTGCAAGAAACATTTTTATTCATCTGTATGAACTGCAAAATGTCAAAGAGACTTCTTTGTCTATGTGGCCTGTATAGCTCTATGAAAGAAACCCTGACTTGGAAATGTAATTGTTTCGTAAGATACCGCTTCTCACAACACAAGAAGATTCTAATCAAAGTAATGGAAAAAGTTTTAAATAAACTGATTGTAAAGTTATACAGGTATATTTTCTTGGATAATCTAAGCTAGTGTGTCAAAGCAATTCATTCTAAAAACATTGCATGCAAATAGATTCATTTATCTGGTTCATTACAGTACTCTTATGTCAAGTTACGGAATGTCTTACAAAAAACTCTAAGATGGAAATCTACAGTAGAATACCGGCTTTGTTTGTATCGCTGCAACATATTCTTTATCAAGATAAAGTACATACATCAAAGAGAGTGCATGAATATAAAGGTGTCTTGGCATTTTCATGTAAACGTCAGAATTTGATTATGAGAGGTGTCTTTAATACTGCTAGTTCTCATGTTCAAATTCTTTGTTATAAAACAACTGTTAAGGAGGCTAATTTGGGTGCACTTTTTGGAGCAGGTTAGGAAGTCATTTTCAAACAGCAGTCAGAGGCGAGGGGGCAAAGTCTGGGTTTAGGAAGGAGAAGCCCAGGAAGTCTTCCTGGTTCATAGCCGCTAGTATATCCGGGTCAGAGGGAGTGAGCGCTGATGGAGCCGCTGTGAAGAACTTGTCGAAATTTTCACCTTTTTTCCCACCCTAATGTAGAAGAAGAAGAGAAGATTAGCACGCATATTCACACATTTGTGTTTGATGCTGATTGTACATCATCGTCCTCCTCTGCATCACTTTTTCTCACCCACACCCTCCTTTTCTCTCTACAGAGCTCTCTACCACACCTACTGCAGGACGAAAGCTCCTCATGTTTTTTTTCCTGCTCCTTAACAGCGTATGACAACCTTTCTGTTAGATGATATGAATCTCATTTAACTAATGGGCCTGGCCTTTAACCCCTGAGCATACTCAGCTCACTCAAGGCACACCTCACCATTGGCCAGAGGGGCCGCAAACCGGCATGTGGCAGGCTAATGATGACATACATTTGCATATGGGAGGAGTAGGCAGGACCCCAATGTCAGAAGGTCCTGTCTGTTATGACTGGACTATCTGTTCCCAGGCAGCCCATCTCTAAGAACCAGCAGAGGCGATGAAAAAGAGAAAAGAGGGCCATTTGAACAGAGAAAAGAAGGGGGATGAAATGGCCAACACACTGTGGACAGCTGAGAGAGAAAGCATGTAGGGAAATGAGGGAAAGCGTGGGAGTTTGAGAGAGAGGAGACAGATGGAAGAAAGTGATAGCTTCATTTCCCTAAAAGTGTCCTCTGAGAGACAGACAGAAAGAGAAAGGAAGAGAGGGGGAGGAGAGTGACAAGAAAAGCAAGACAGAAAGAAAGAAAGAAAGAAAGAAAGAAAGAAAGAAAGAAAGAAAGAAAGAAAGAAAGAAAGAAAGAAAGAAAGAAAGAAAGTAGCAAGTCTGCAGAGTCTGTAGTCCATCTGTTCAACTGACAGTTCTGGGTTTGAAGGGCGCCTGGATCTCCAGTCTCTCCAGACGGTCCCAATCAAGCCAGCGGAAGAACGGATGCTCCCTGATCTCTCTTTCTGCATCCTCTCCTCCACCCAGACGCTTGGCCGGGTGCTTCGTCAGGAACTGCGGGAAAATTGAGAAAAAGTAGGGGAAAATTGGGAAAAGATTAGAAAAATATTATGGTAATCATAGGATAAAGGTGAATGATTTCTGTTTGTTCTACAATGTACATGGTAAGCTTAGGTGTATATTTAAATATAATTGAATATGAATGGATTTAAAATTAAATACTATAAGTAATTAAATTTTATTTTTCTGATGTACTTATGCGTATATATTGAGTGTGAGTTTTGAAGGTATAGTTCAAAAAGTACATGTATTCACTTTCTTGTGAACAAAATGTGAGAAGATGGATACCATTCTCACATCTGTATGCTAAGTATGAACCAGCAGCCTGTTAGCTTAGCTTAGCATAAAGACTTGAAACAGGGGGAAACAGCTGGCCTGGCTCTGTCCAAAGGAAACAAAAAAGGTAATAAAGCTAAAAAATTAACACATTACATACAAGTGTAAAAATCACAATTTGTAGTTTTAAGGGGATTTATGTGGGGGAATATATTTTGGCAACAAGACTTAAGGAAGTCACTGAGCCCATCCGCAAGCAGAAGTTGCAGTAGTTAAACAACCAAGATATAAAGTGTTAATTAATAATCATCAGAGGTTCTGGCAGGAGAATTTTGTTCTTCAGACAGAGTCAGGCTAGCTATTTCCCCCTGTTTCAAGCCTTTATGCTAGGCTAAGCTAATGGCCGCTGGCTCTAGCATCATATTCAACAGACAAATATGAGAGTGGTATCAATCTTCTCATCCAACTCTCTGCAAGAAAGCAAATAAGTGGATTTCCTAAAATGTTGAACTATTACTTTAAGTAGTCAACAATGTGCATGGCTAAGCTTTGTTCAATTTTATTATATTATATCTCATATATTTAAATATATGTTAGAAATGTAATATGATGTAAAATGCAATATAATTGGCATTTATCTCAATTGTGCTAAACCAGTTATATGAGTAAGAAAATTAATAGTGACTTACTCCCTTGCAGATAGCAACAGCTTCACGAGAGAGACTTTTTGGGTATGAGACACTCTGCTCCATGATGGACTGAAACAGCTCCTCCTCGTCAATACCATCAAATGGTGGCTAGAAGAAAAAGATAGAGAGAGAAGGAAAAAAGACAGTAACTATTAGGACCTGCAAGCAAACTGAAATCAAATATATTGAAATTAAAGTTCTTTTGAAATTCTTTTGAAGTGATTACAAAGGACAAGTACTGGAGTGACTGTGCACACGGATTTACTGTCAGGATTAAGTGTTACCTGTCCTGCAAGCATTTCATACAGCAGTACTCCATAGGACCACCAGTCTACTGCTTTATCATAGGGCTGATATGCCACAATCTGAAAAGGATGGAGAGAAACGAAAAGGAGATAAAGGGGAAGAATGGCAGCACAAAGATAAGAATGTAAAATGAAGACAGGGAAAGTGAGAGAAAGCGTAGCGGTTGCTCGGATGAAATGCAGCTATCAGAGACAGCCAGAGTGAAAAGCAGAGAGAGAGAAAGAGTATGGCATTAGGGAGGGTAAATGTATGAATGAGCTCAGAAATAATGCTACACATGGCTTTTGATTTGTTTACGTGTGTCTGTTTGTTGTGGGGTGGGGTGGAGGGGCATAAGGGAACAATTCCCAGCCCCTGGGGAAATATATTGTGTCTCTTCCAAATGGCAGATGCAGGAGAATCAATGGGTGTTTACATAAGAGAGTCAATACCCAGGGGTTCCATAGCAAGTTTCAAAATATCAAAGATGTGCACAACAGTCACATCTCTCTACTGCCTGTCTACAAACCAAACACTCCTTCACACTTTCTCTCAATTTATTTTGTTTATGATGACTTAACAGATGACAGACGCACACACATACATATCACAAACAATTTGCAAGGTAAACGTTATACAACATACAGTTATGATAGTTTTCATTCCAAAACGGTGTCAAGCAAAACCACCTCCGCTGTTTTCAGGCTGAAATTTGCATCGTCGTCATCAATGAAATCCTTTTGACATTCTTCATTTAGTTTTCATTGATTTTTGTTAATCACCTTAGGTTACACTTCTCAATTGCAGTAACAGAAAGACCAAACTGGTAATACAAGGTCTCTGAAGGACAATCGCAATTTCTATGCAACGTTCTTGTAGCACAAGCACACCCTGCTGCTGCTAATTGAATCATGTGAAGTTAATTATTCAAAAATGCTGACAAGGTCAGAGAGGACGGAGGAGATGAGAGGAGCTGCAGTGAAGCAACTCGCCGTCTCACAGCACTGCAAAACAGGTCAAGCAACTGAAGAGGGGAAGACAGGGGTGAAATGAGGGGAAATGAGGGATCTAGGGAACAAATGAAGGAAGTTCCAAAGGTAGTTTGGACCAGAAAGTGAGAGCAGGGGTCAGTGTACCTCAGGGGCGATGTAGTCGGGGGTTCCACAGAAGGTGCGCGTGGTGTCACCCTCGAACATGCCCTCCCTGCACATCCCAAAGTCAGCTATCTTTATGTGGCCCTCGCTGTCAAGCAGCACATTATCCAGCTTTAGATCCCTGAGAAAGACAGAGATAGATCACACAGGCATGAATCATTTTGATAGACAGCATCTTTATAAAAGTCATTAGCTCCAAAAGACATGATAAATCTGTGTCACATCTGTGCTGCAGCCAAACCAGGCCATGTTAGATGAGCAGCCCACTTCTTTACCTGTATATGATGCCTTTGCTGTGGAGGAAGAAGAGGCCGATCGCTATCTCCGCTGCATAAAACCTGGAGGGAGAGAGAAGGGAGGGGTTGGGGGCCACTCACTACTGGTTGCTTTATCTTTCAGAAAACTGGCCAAGGTTTTCGGCGAGGAGAGAGGGAAAGGAGCTCAAATGGGTGATGAAAGGGAGCGAAACCAAATAGATGAAAGGCGGAGAAGTGAAGAAAGAGAGCTGGAAATGAGCAACAGGGTAAAAATTAGTTTTAGATGATATATCAAAGATTATTGATTAGATGAACAGCCAGGGGGAGGGAAGATGTATAAGACAAGATGAGATAAGTGGGAGGAGAAAGTCTGGGGTGTGTGTGTGTGTGTGGGGGGGCTGGTACTTGAGTTGATGATTTTTTATGAGTCACCAGGTATAATGAATAAAGCGAAGAGATGAGTGTATATGTAAAGGAGCAGAGAATAAAAGAAAGGCAGGAAATGAGACGCTGTTGATGAGGACTGAGATTAAAGGTAAAAGAAGGAACTTCTTGACTACATACGCTGCATGAGGCTCTTTGAACTTGCCAACTATCTGAATGTGAAACATCAGGTCTCCTCCGTTGACATATTCCATCACGTAATACAGGCGGTCCTGCAGAAACAAAACAGACGCAAGATGGACACACACTCTCCGTACATAATCACCTCTAGTCCAAATTAAAAAGCAATCTGTTAAAACCTCTCCTCCAGGACCAAGGACCTTGTTAAAGAAAGCAAGCTAATTATTTAATTTATTAACCGAAATTCTCAGTCAACCTGGACTGAAACAACTCCTCTGAGGGCTAGGCAGCCAAAATGTCAGGCTGGTTTATGGACACTTTAATGAAAATGATGTGGTTCATTTAAGGCCCAATATACCTACACACACACACACACACACACACACACACACACACACATACACACCTCAGTCTGGAAGGCACAGTAGAGCGATGTGAGGAAGTGAGGGCGAGAGGAAAGCGCCAGAACCCTCCTCTCTACCAGGGCGCTCTCTGTGTCCTCGTCCTGGAAAAGAACGTCTTTCTTCAACACTTTCACAGCAAACAGACGCTCACTGCCTCGCTCCTCTGCCAGCAGCACCTGTACAGACACACATTACTGTAACAACAAATCCCAAGAATTTTAAAGGAGCTACTGCACGTCTTTAAACTGCCGAGGCCCATAAATAAACACAATGCTTATTTATACACAGCTCTACACCAAGTGTCTGGCATGGCGAAAAGAAGAGAATGATGCTAGCAATGCATTCAAATTCAACCTTGGTTCAAATTCTCGAATGCATCTCTCACTCAAGCTTCATTTCTAACTCTAGATAGAATTATGCATGTGCTGTACCTCTGCCAGTAGTGTACTTTTTTTTAGGTCATTGTGTTGTGAGTGACAAGCCGTTCTAGTTGGGAGAAAATGAGTTCTGCTGTTTTAATAAAATTGCGTGCTTTTTAGGCACATTTGCAGACTTCTGGTAGATTTTGTGCATGAAATGAAGTGTCATACTCAGTGCCTATTATTAAAATGCATATACTGGTAAGAAAGTAAAATAGTGTAAGGGAAAAAGTGTATCACATTACTTGAGCAAGTTCAGTTATGTGCACATTTACACCGACATGGTGAAATAACTGAAGCAATGTTTAATTAAAGCTGTTCTATGCCTGAAGATTTCAAGACACGTTAATGTCATAAATGAAAAGGCACAGCGGCTCTCATGTTTTTATCAGACATTAAAAACACATTCCGCAGCTCCCACTCCTGTGAAATTGGCTGCTGGCGGGTTGCTTTAATGATGCTGTAATTTTCTACAATGAGAGTCACATGACCCAGGTTTTTACTGTGCTTCACGGCAAAGATATGGTCAAGAGCACTGCAAAGTTCTGACAACAACACTGTTTAAAATTGTCTGGCCACCCTAATGGTCACTGGCGAGGATTTCATTTTACTTTTAAATAGTTGGGAGTAGTACAGAAAATTACACGGTTTAATTTTTCAGAAATCAATGGGACTACACAAAGGTGCTTGTGTGTGCGTGTACTGTATGTGTGTGCTATTGATGAACTGCCAGTCATGAGAGAAATCCTGATGTTCTCTGATATCGTGTCTCCTGCTCATCCCCGTGTTCTCAAACTAACTCACATCAAAATGGATCACCCTTCTGAACATTACAAAATTCTACTAACACAGTCACGTGTACTCTTTTCCTGTCTTCCCCCTCATTATCCCATTTCCTTTTGGTCATTTTGTCACTTTGTGTTGCACAGTGATCCTTCCCTCTTTCTCTTTATCCCTATGTGTCTCTTTCTCACTTCTCCTCACTCAGCAGCCCCGGGGTCTGTCTCTCCTTTCTTGGGTCGTTTTTTTTCTTCTCACATCTTACGTAAGTGGAGTCTATTTCTCCTGTCCTCTGTAGACTCTCCTCTGACAGTTATGAAACAGCACAGGGGGATTTCATTTGAGGAAGAAGGACTCAAAACTCCATTCTCTTCATTATACCTCATCTACTGGGGAATTAAAGAGAAAATGAGAGAGCAGAGGCTCCCTTGAAATGAAAACCTCCAGGTGGACCCACTGCCTTTGTGGCACATAGGAAGCCAGCCAGCCTGAGCTCACGACTGCTGACAGCACTAAAGAATCTTAAGGGTTAAAGGAATAATTTGGCAGGAGAAGGAGAGACAATGAGCATATTAGTAAGAAAGGGATTTTTTTTTCTTTCTTTCTTGCTCTGCCCAGAAGCTGCTGTATGAAATGCCACTTGAAGGTCAAGTCCATCAATAGAAGAAATCATTTAAAGCCAGGAATAATCGTTGTTGTTTTAAGCATGAATGGCCTCTTTCATAGCACTTACAGCTGTTGGATCAGAGGTGCTGATTGTGTGTAGAAAAGATGACATTTTGTCTCGGTGGCTGCTGTGTTTACCTTGCCAAAGCTGCCTTTGCCCAGCACCATGAGGAAGTTGAAGTCATGGAGGCCCACTTTGACTTTGGCAGGGCCTGGGGTGTGGACAGGTGGACAGGACGGCACAGGGTTTGAGGACAGGGCCGCAGGGAACACTTCAGACAGCGGGATAGGTATTGCTTGAGGCAGAGAGGGTGTTGGAGCGTCTGGCTGAGGCTCCTGGAAAATCATAGTGGGAGGATTGAGAGATGAATTCTAAACACCAGACAAAACCAAACTCCTTCCCACCCCTAGTTTTGGAATACAGTCAGGCAGAACAATCCTGCACCCTGGTGGAGACAGAGTGTAATAGAGAAGGGAGGGGACTCAATGTAATTTATTATCTAATTATTTAGCCACAACACCAGACATAAATCTTCCAGTTTTTTTTCCAGTCTCAGATAGAATTGTAAGCCAAGGGACAGTTCAAGATCCTGACCCAGTGTGAACAGTCACAGCTGTTCTTTATTAGATGTAGGTAATTATAAGCTGATAAAGGTTATGCCAAGGCTTTAGAATAAATGGACATTAGCATGGTAAAAAATAAAGGGCTGCTCCGCTCTGGTGAATACAGGGATACAGTTTTCACTCTCGCTTTTTGTTCACCATGAGGACCGACTGATGACTTTTTGGCTGGAGCAAGTTTCCTACCTGCAGATCTGGGTCTGGCACGGGAATGTTGTAGTATTCTCCCTCGTCTTGGGCCAGCAGTTTGAACCAGCCGCTGATAGGGCGCCTGAAGATCTCACTCACTCCGAATGACAACGCTCCCATGAAATCATTCCTAGACGTGCGGTCCCAGTCCCAGACCTCCACAGACAGTCTCCTGTCCCACTGGTGACCACGCACTGAGCTGGAGAGACGAATGCAAAAACTCAAAATCACTGGGGACAGTTAGCTCACTGTGTAAGCAACACAAGAATGCACAAAGACAAATTATTGTTTTTCTTAAATTTTCACGTTCATGGTATTTTCTGAACTTTCTGAAAAATGCAAACACAACTGTATTAAAGGGTAAAATTTTAACACTGGTTATGCACAACAAGCAGCATATATTCAAGGCCCATCAACCTTCTTTTCTCTATCTTTTTTATGACACTGTAATTCAAATATCTGGGTCATCTTATTTTACCTAAAGCGCATTCACAAAGCAAGTTCACAAGGACTCACAAGGTGAAACTCTCATTCCAGACGGGATTGAGTGTTGAGCGGATGGTCTTGGTCTTCTGCTTGCTGTGGCTCTTTGGGTCTGGAATCAATTTGAGTTTAACATACGGGTCTGACAGGCCATTTGGATCCATAGGCATCAGGTTACGAGCCTCCCGCACTGGAGAGAAAGTATAGAAAGGACACCGGGAGAAATCCTTCATTACTTGTGTAATCCTACTTTTTGTTTTAAAAAAACACTTCCCATAATCCAGCGGGTCCTCTCACCTGTGACAAACACATCCTCCTTCTCTCCTCTGATAGTAAGGTGGATCCTCCCTCTCTTCTCTGTGTGGTCTTGGCCACAGAGACTGGGAACACTGGTCTCGCACCGTCGATGGACGTTCATGTCACAACCTCACAGTACAAAGATACACAAGTATGAACAAACACCTGTACTATAGAAAAGATATAAATTAGATCACAAAAAATAAATAACAACATAATAAAATAAAAAACGCTTTATAAGGGCATCCAGGTGGCCTGCTGGTTAAGGTGCATACCACATAACTGCAATGTCCACGGTTTGATTCCCAGACCTTTGTTGCATGTCATACACATCTCTCTCTCCATGTCTCCTGTCTATTTCTACACTGACTCTCAAATGCCAAAAAAAAAATGTAGACATACACGCACATTATGTTTTTTTCACTTTAGGATTTTCGATATCACATCGACTTATATTTATTCCCCATAGACTTACCCCAACTTTAACCATAACCACTTTTTGCCTAACCCAAACCTGGAACCTAACCTTGAAGGAACTGTTCTACATTTTCTTCTCGAGAGTGAGTTAAGAAGACTGATACAACTGTCATGCCTTACTTGTAGTTTTAAGTCTAATCCCAGCAGCCCATTTGCTGACTGGAAAAGGGGGGAAAATACTAGCCTGCCCCTGTCTGAAGGCAGCAAAATTCCCCTATCAGCAACCATAATAAACACCTTATATCACATTTGTTCATGGAGTACAAAAGCCAACAAGTGTAAAAATGACAAGTTGTGGTTTTACAGGAGGGTTATGTGCACTACTTCCTAGCCAGGCATAGTCACTTCTCATCTAACTCGAAAGTAAATAAGAGGACTTCCCAAACCTACACACAACCCAGTCAACACTAGATTTTGGAGGCTAATTTTGTCGTAGCCATCTTTTTTTCCCCAGCTGGCAGGTGAGTCCTAATAATGTGCCTGTGTGAAATGATTTTTATACCTACAACATAATTATTACAACAACACACACGCAGATGTATTACACTGTTAAATATGGTGAAACTCACAGGTACATTTCATGCCCTGGTGTATGAGGCCGTACAGCAACGAGCCACAGTGGTCGCAGAAGGTGGGACTGGAGTACGTCTGGAGCTTAAATGTGTGTCGACTCTTCAGGTCCTGAAATACAACAGAAACACTCTGCATTGAGAACTAACACGCGCACACACACACATCTGCAGCGTGACCATGGAAGGCACTGTGAACACACACACATTTACACACATACATACAGAGTATGATTAGTGGAGTGATGTTGAGTGGGGTATTCATGGACAAGCCAATTAGATTTCTCCACTGGGAGAGGACATATAAATGAGAGTGCATCTAGGCAAGGCTCTGTGTGAGTGTATGTGTATGCTGCGCAGAGAGGGATGAATCATTTTTATCTCTCTTCAGCTCATCAGACCCCACCACCGCTCTCCATACACCACCTTCTCCCAAACTGTTTTCCCTCCCTCGTCCCTCTGAGCCGCTATTTAAAAACACCTCCTCTTTCCCTCTGTGTGTGTGTTCCTTTTACGCTCTCATCCTTTTTCACTCAAACACACACACTCTCTCTCACACACACACTCTCTCTCTCACACACACACACACACACACACACACACACACACACATTCCCCTTGACCTCATTTCTGAGGCAGTTTATGTGGCTGGCAGAAAAGAAAATGTGAAGAAAAGACAAATCTCCCTGAAATCCTCAAAATGCCACAGAGAGGAAGACTGAGCAGTCTTGTGCCCCCCCCCCCCCCGTAATTCTCCCTCTTATCAGTCCCTCCAACCCTCCACCTGTATCTCCCCCACTCTCTATCTCCAACTCCCTGCATCTCCGAGGCCTTGTAGGATGACATGACATGAGCAGACGTCACAGATGGGACAAGGCTGCGTGATGTGAAGGATGTATGGATTGACGGATGAGTCATACGTAAGTGAAGGTGGCAACGAGCGGATGGCTAAACATAATGATGACGGGGTAAATCTTAAATGGACTAAAATGGAAAACAAGAGAGTAACAGTGAAAGCAATGCAATGATACGATGACAGATCTGCTCACATCTGGTTTCGGGCCGGCCACAGAGCCAGGACAGGTGAAGGTCACAAACTCGTGACATCTTTTGTGGACCACGAAACTGCAAACTAGAGGAAAGAAAGAGAAAAATATCCTCAAAAGTGAATCCGTCACACTGAGAAAATAATCTAAGATTAAATACAGCGGAAAAAGACAATAACACCGGGTTTATCTTTACCTTGACATTGGAATCCCTGTTTGCCGATTCCCCTGAGTGAAAAAGGCACATGGATTAAGACACAAATACAATCTTTTCTTCTCCTCTTTAAGGTGAAATATTTTGCTTCTGGGACTCTTTCTTAGCCAAAATAATATAGATAATGCTGCCAAGACAGAGATAGGGTTGTTGCATTATTCCTTTCTGTATTACACTAAGACCAACACACATGTAGGCACAAGTTGAGAACAAATTCTGTCTCATCAAAACTCCACTAGCTGTGTTAGAGACTAGTAACATGATAAACACTCATTACGTTAAGTCATTATGTGTGAAGTTTGAGTGTCTTTCCTTTCTGAGCCACACTGTTGACCAGGTCAAACGGAGCAGGATCACTTATTGTCACCCATACACGCATATGTATAAACACAATTCTTCTGTTTCCAGAACTGCGGTGTTGGCTAGTTTCCAGTGTCTCCTTTAATTGAATAATTAAAGCCATTGATTTAGTAAAGAGTCCACTCAGCGGCTTTGCATGCTGTGAATCAAGTTTTGATTAGGAGGTTTAGAAAGGCAAGACGAAAAAGACACCACCGAGAGCTCCTCCACAATCATACTGGAGAGGCCCAGGGGTTCATAGGAAACGGACCATAATCACTGATCTGAGATCAGTTCACCATCTGGCTAAGTAATAATTAAAGATGGGGTTGCAGAAGGTAATCTGATCCTTGATCAGCATTCAACAGAAGTCTCTGTCTGCAGTGTATGCAGCCAGTTCTGTATTTTGACCAGCAGAGAGCATTAGAGAACCAGGTATGGATTTAGAGAGACTATACAGGACTGCTTGCTGGCCAGTTATTACAGGGACATCACTGCATTTTAAATTTAATGATGCTTTGAAAAACCTCTCCAACACATGCCATTAAATGAAAAGTTGCCATAAAACATCCTGAAAAACCCTGTAAAACTGACCAGAACACGCCCTTATTATGGACTATATAGTATTAATTGTGAATAATTTACTTTAAAGTCTTTGCAATAGGCCTTTTTCACTGAACACATTTTGACATGTCACAGTAGGAAAAGCAGAAGTGTAAATGATAAAATTAGTGATGACTGAATTCCTTCAGTTGCTTCAGTTTCAGGGTACTGTAGTGCATGCAGGCTCACTGTGACACTGTTATGACTTACTCGAACAATTGAATGTACAGTGTTTACAAAAGAGCCATAATTAATGTTATTAGTAACACCTGTGCTTTCAAATGTCTGCTGTGAATAAGGCCTGTTCAATCTGTCCTTAGATTTAGTTTATTTACCATTTTATGGTTTTATTCAGTGATTTTCAGTATGAGAGCCAATGTTTTTTTTACATGTATTCATTTAGCTGACGCTTTTATCCAAAGCTATACATGTCAGAGGTCGCACGCCTCTGGAGCAACTAGGGGTTAAGTGTCTTGCTCAGGGACACAATGGTGGTTGGGTCACAGGGGGGGATTGAACCCAAGTCTCTCACACCAAAGGCAGGTGGCTTATTCATTGCGCCATCACCACTGAACAGCAAGGTATTGACTCCAAACACACAAAATTGAAATGTGACCCCAATGCCACTTTTTCAGTTTCATTCAATTGTTAATTGAAGGAGCCATACAAGATACATCCCATTCCCTTCTAGAGCCTGATTTAATAAACAAGATATTTACATTACAAAATTAGAACTATCGTTTCTTAGTCTTTAATTAATCTACTTATCCCCCCAGGGGCTTCGACACCCAGGTTGACATCCTGTGTGATGGAAAAGAGTTTTCACCCTGAGCTAAGTGCTGCTACCGCAGCCAAGACAACAGCCAGCTGGAGAAATGTCCTGAAAGCTACCCAGAGGCTGCTGGCGCATGCACCGCCCTACATCTTACATACACCCTCACCATATGTTCAAACACACACACAACGACTCATACACTCTGCCACGGCTTTACTGGACAGAATATGTTCCCTGCATGGTTGTCTGTACACAAGACCCATTTACATGAATACCCATGTGTGTGCATGTCAGAGGCACAAGTATTACATAAAACAATACATCTCAAATACTGTATTTGAGGCAATGGTACTTTTCTTGACTGTTGCTTTATTTCTATTATTTTTGTTTGTTTGTTTGTTTGTTTACACTGCATTCACCTGTAAATAAAAACATATTGTCCCTGTCCTGTGAAATCTGAGGATCTCCAAAACATCAACTTTTCCTAAGTAAGAGAAACAGCCCTGCTTTCAGCTTTGTGACAATGCACTTTTTTAACTTTCTTGTTTTCCATGTTTGTCATGATTCATCCCGCCATTATCAAACAAATGAAACATATTTTTAAACCCATAAAGGAACACCTTCAAAAATTGGACCAAATTCGGAGATATGTGGTTTTCACTGGACAGCGACGAGTGTAAATTCCAGCAGTTAAAATAGTTACTGTAGGTCAAGCACCATCTGGAACAACTACAACAATTAAATACTACTTACACATGAACACATTTCAAATCTAACAATTACATTTTAGACTTAGAACTGTTGATACCCGAGTTCATTTTACTGCTTGTACTTTATTTAAAATCATGGAACATTTCTTAACTTTCAGGACTTTCTGATGAAGCCTTTTTTGTGTTTCGCACTAAAGGTGCACTAAAGGTGCACTCCACAGATTTTACACATTCAGTTTACTCATTACGAGTAGTATTACTCAGCCCGCAAAAACAATTCCTTAATGTCTTTTGTGGCTCTGGAGGCGTTCCAAAGTCTGAAAAATAAACCCAGTGATGGAGGGACCTAATGAAAGTCTCTACTGAGTTGCATTATGAGAATGCAGCATCCAGCATTTTTGGAACTTGGCCCATACTACAGGACACTTTGGCCAATTTTGTGGAAAGTGGAAGTGACATACTATATTGATAGAGTACCCTTTTAAGATCTGAATAATTCCTCCTATACTGCTGCCTGTGTGTGTTTGTGCATGTTTGCATGTATGGTCATCTGTGTGCAAGCATTCATACTCCTATATGTCCTTATAATGCGTATACTGTATGTGTTTATCTCTATGTGTGTCTCCGTGTGTGTGAGTGAATACATGAAGTTCGTAAAGGAACCCCTGTATCGTGTGGGCTGCAGTGTGGAGGTGAGGTTATGTGATCAGATCAGGTCAGTGTGGTGGCTACACAGTGTGGGCTGTTTCTCCAGCAGGCAGCTGGATCTGGTGAAAGAAAGAAAAAGTACAAAAAATATCAGATGGAGTGGTGGGATGCCTGAGGAGGCGGCTTATGAACTGCCGGGTTGGTTGCTGTGTAAATGTGCATCTGTAAATGTGTGTGTGTGTGTGTGTTTGTGTGTGTGTGTGTGTGTGTGTGTTACCAGATGAAGTCGGTGCAGTGGCTGCAGAAGGTGGGCTGTTTGAAGAAGCGGGCTGTGAACTGATGGTCTTTCACTTCGACAATCCTCTTGTGTTTGAGCGCTCCCTTCCTCTGGAACACGGGCACCCTGGGTGGAGGGGAGAGGGGCGAGGGCAGAGGGGAGGCTCCAGGGGAGGTTGCCGATGTAGGGGAGGCCAGTGTCAAAGGGGAGAGGGTGGGGGAAGGGGAGACCGGGGTGGACATAATGCCTGGAGATGCTGCAGAAAGAGGAGAGAGGCACGGAGAAGGGGAATGGATAATGAGTGTCAGTAAGCACAGTATAGAGTTGTACAGGCGAAAGACCTTGAGCATGGGAGAGTGAGGAGGGGAGGAAGCAAGGACATGGAGGGAGAGTATGAGGAGGAGGAGTAGGAGGGACGGAAAGTGTAATGGGTCATGGTTGAGACAGGAGTTGTATTATTGGCACATGGGATGTAGGGTAGGGAGCAGTGAAAGAGTGAAGTGATGGAGAGAAAGATAGAGAAAGGATATATGGACCGCAAGTGGCGAAAAAGACGGTAGGGTGGGAGCACGGGAAAAGTGACAGGTGAGAGTGAAAGGGAAAAAGGGGTGTATTGAGGGAGACGGAGGTTAATTCACATACGGAGACAAAACTCTCCTAAGAGACTCTGAAACAACAACGCTAAACAATTAGTGCAACTCAGCGTGTCCCACATACTTCCTGTCCATTCAACCGACATCTCCCTCTCTCTGTACCCCTTATATCTCCATCTCTCTGGCTACGCCCCCCCCCTCATGTCAACTGTACCTCCTGTTGCCATGTCAACAACACCCCCACCACCTGCTCCAATATTAGAGCCTGTATCCTCTCTTGACTTCCTGCCTGCCCTTATTAGCAATTAATCCCATTTCTGAAATAAAGTTTGGACCAGAATATGAAAAATAATGTCTAAAGGGAATGAGATGTGCTGGAAAAAGTGCAAAACTGCAAACATTAGCTGGAGAGGCTGTGGTGCAAGAGTTGCACACTACTAAATGATAAATGAAACACCAACAGAGATTTAATGAATAAATAAATAAGCCCATAGCAAAAAAACGATGTTAGAAAAAAAAGTGATGAAATGGTGGTGTCTCAGCAAAGAAGCAGGAGAAAATCAATCAAAAGGGTGAAACGGGAGAATGGTGGGGAAAATGGCATGGTACTCAGAAATTTGTAAAAATAATGATTGGAAGATAAAATATATTCCAAAAATGTGCACAGACCCATCCGGCAAAGATGATTAAGACACAGTACCTGAATTGGTGGTGATTTTGGAGGAAAGGCTCGACTAAAGGACAGCTTTATTGTCTTCCTCTCCCCCTCTCTTCTCTTCGTTTGGCTCACTTCAAAAGAAAGGCTAAGGTGTCACACCTGTAGTGGGTCACCTCAAAAAAAGAGAAAGACGTGGAAGAAAAGACAGAAAAACCAAGACAAGCAGTGCTGTGGCAAGTAGAAAAGAATGAGCCAAAAAATAAAGGAGAAAAAAGAAAAAGAGAGGGCAACAAGCGTTTTGAGAGATTCAAGCTTTCTAGGAACCAAAGATAGAAGAGTGAAGTGGTATATATCCGTTAACCCAGAGGCAGGGTGAGGAGGAGGCTGAGATAGAGAGGTGGTATTCTCTTTCCAAGATTGATTCTCTCTTTACTAAGAAAAGGAGGAGAGATGTGAGAGAATGAAGTGAGAGAGAGAGAGAGGAAGAGAGAGAGAGAGAGAGGAGAAAGATTGAGGGGAATAGGCAGCGATTCATTTTGAAATCTGGGTTACTTCTCTCAGGAGATGGTGAGGGAGGTAGAGGAAGGAGGGTGGATGAGAGATACACTGCCATTTTGCCACCACCAATACAGTATGGACAAGCGAGTGCCAACTGTCCCTCACTTCCTCTAGTGCCAGAGAGGAAAAGGAGAGGAGTGAGAGTGTATCCAGTCTGGAAGAAAAGAGCAGAGAGCTTCAGAGGAGGAGAAAGAAACGACCAGTTAGCACAGCTAAAACAGAAAATAAACTGTTAAAAGTTGCGGAGTTTGCTGCAGATCCACATGAAGGATCAGCAGGCCTGTAAAATAAACAACTCAGTTAATCTTTTCCACAACAGTGCAGTTAACAGAATGTCCATCGTATTTTAGATTGGTTCTGAGATCACAGCAAGTGGTGGCATAATAACACTGCTCCACTGTGCACTGAAACCAGGTCAGCTAAGCCTGATGGGAAGAGTAGTTTCCAAGAGAGGCTGTTTGTCCACTGATTGCCCACATACTGTCAAGGGCGCTCACATGCAAATACACACACACGCAAATACACCCACATAAACTAGTTTTGTCACTTAGGACATTATTTTTACTCACAATCCCAGTCAAGGAGAGGGAGACGCTTTTTTGCTGAGAGTCAGATGAGACAAGTGACACCATGCCTGTAGCTGGAGCCAGGAGCTGGTTAGCTTAGTATAGCATTTAAAGCCTGGAAACGGGGAAACAGCTAACCTAGCTCTGTCCGAAGGTAACAAAAAAATGCCAACCACCTCATAGATTCACACATTATAACTATTTCTTGGCCGGGACCTGTTGCCAGGCAACAAGCAGAGACTTGGACTACTATAACATGTTATTAAGTGGACTTGAGAGATGCCAGAAGACTGTATGGCCTTATTTGTAGTCTTTATGCTAAGCTAAGCTAACCAGCTGTTGGCTCCAACTTCATATTTACCACAGAGACGTGAGAACGATATAACCTTCCCATTTAACTCTCAGTAAAAAGCAAATAAGTCTGTTTCCCTAAATGTCAATCTAGCCCTTTAACCCTAAAACTGCACTTGTGGGGACCAGCTTTTTGTCCCCAAATGGGGGTGGAGCCCCTGTAAAATGATTATGTACACAAATGTTTGTCCCTGTGAGTAATACAAGTGCACACCCACACAAAATTAATCACATTCCATGTTTGCACATGGTATATAGACAATCTTGGGAGATGGGAGCAGAAGGCGGGAGCAGGGATGCAGGCAGGCAGGGGACGAAGGGGTGGATTGGAGTGGGACGCAGAGACTGAGAGAGGGAGTGAAGGGTTGAAGGTCTAATTAATGGAAATGTAGGTTATTAGTCTCCTGATGAGGACACTGGCAGAGAATTAATTAACAATTATAATTAGCAAGATTGTTAGAGAGCAAAATGGTGTCAGCCAGCAAGATAAGGGTGAGCTAGTGTGCATATGTGTGTGTGTGTGTGTTGGAGGCTGTTTAAAAAAAAAAAACAGCTGTGCTAACATGCCCTATCTGACAATGATATATGTCATTTCAGCATTAGTCATGCAGAACTAGCAGCTGATTGGAAATGATAGGGGGCTTTCCTTCACACATAACGGCACCAGGCCTTTCTCTATCAAACTGCCATCGCTGTCCTATAAGAGCCAGAAAATGGGTGAGTCACGTTCTAGTTCTGTTGTCACAAATAAAGGAGGAAGATGTTCTCACAATGTAAGAGAAAGAGGGGGGTGGCAAAAAATATGAGCTGTAGACCATGCAACCCTCAGTAATCAGAGCATTGAAAATCAAAGCACATAAATGGCTCACAATGCTTCCCTTCTACGCGGTGTGATGAGTAAGCACTTGTGGCTGTAATGTGTCTGTATCAGTGTGCGTTTGCTTGCCTATCGGAGCATGCTTTACAGTGTTTGATCCCGGGCCATAAAATCGTGTTGGTGTGCAGCCAGCCAATGACACATAAAGGCTGTAAACCAAAAAGACGTACAAACACAGATGCAGCCTGCAGGATTAAGAGCAGAGGGATAATTATATAAAACACAGATAGGAGTGAAGATAAAAGGAAATATATAGGTGACAGAAAAAAAAGAAAAATGAGGATATGATATCAGTGAAGAAGACACACCCCAAACCACATTCTGTTCTTGGCTATTACCATCTTTACAATAACCACTATTATATGGCAACACTGGAAGCTGTTGCTACCATTTCTGATCATGAGCACTTTCCATACCCCAGCCCCCCTCTTTTTTTTCTCTCTCAGTCTACAGATGGCTATCTTATTATTTCTGACCATGGCTTAATGAAACAGAAAATTCTCCTCCGATGGAATCTTTTTTGGGGGAGCAATCAGCACTTCACCAATTACACGCATCCATTATCATCTAACGAGCGCTCACTCGCATCAGGCACTGGCTTGAACCTGGCTGGCTGGCTGGCTGGCTGGCTGGCTTGCTTTCTTCTACAATGAAATTAAGGTAAATTGACTTGTCTAACTGTTGTTTGTGGAATCAGGGGAGAAGTGGTGTCTGAGGTAATCATATCTGCCTGTTAAATTTGTCTCTTCAGAACCAATTGGTTCTGTTTGCTTGTATTGGTTTTCTGTTGGGGTGTGCTTCTATTTGCATTTTTTAATGAAGAGTGGTCTGCTGTGTTTTTGGAAGAGAGCAACATACTGCCACACCACTCAGATGAGACATTTGGCAGGCGACTGGGGCCAATCAACATGGCCTACAAACTCTCAGTTCTAAAGCAAATAAGCCTGCTCTCCATATTTATTTTACTTCTGACCTGCCTCTCATTGCAACAACAAATACTGCTAAAATGGAAAACCACACGGACAAGTGAGGGAGTTGTGTAAATTAAATCAAATGGATTGTGGATCATGGATTTGGGTTTGTGGATAAGAGAGTGCTCTGCGGCCTGAGAATCTGAGGAAAAGGAATTTTAATCCATTTTGATCGGTTAAATGACAGGAATTTTGTTTTTGTCCCATGAGTCAATAACCCATTGCACACTTTCCCATTTTCTTTAGTGCTTCTCTCTTCTAGTATGTTGCTCTGGTATACAGCTTACCTCTCACTCTCTTTCAAACCCAACACACTGTGCATACTTTACAATGTTGGGGGAAAATGGAAAGGTAAGTTTGATTGTATAACCTGGCACATTGTGCAAAGGGATATGGCTCATAAATGTTTTTGATAAGTTTTAGGGAAACCTTCAATCTGCAATCACTTTTGTGCAGCCGAAATGAGCTGTGAACACATTGATGACATATTATCATGTTAGCCAATAGTTGCCTCTTTACGTATCACTAACGGAGGAACTTTACCATTCATTTGGAGTGGTGTTTCTTGCCACCTGATAAATATAATTCCAATATTCACTTTCTTTTTATCTCTGTTTTTGTCTCCACTAACTTAATATCTGGCTTTTTGGCTGCTAAATGCTCCACCAGCTAGTTGCTAGTTGCTAGTGTCTGTCTGTTTGGTGCTGAGCAAGTAGCATACAGCTCACAGTATTTTTCACTGAAAACCGATGCCTGCTGCAACTGTAAACTAGGCTATTAGAGCAGTGAGAGTGAATGAACATTAAAGTTGAAGGCTGTAAAATCCAAAACAATGAGCTGAAAGACACTAAAACGCTCCATAGAGTTAAGGGGAACTGCAGATGGGGTAATTCTCTGTGGGTTCATTACTAAGAATGACCCACCCTTTCACATTTAAGTAGTCATGTGATACATTATTATTATTAAAATATCGATTATTGCCATTTTTAACAAGTACCATATCAAAATGTCGCTATTAATATGTCTATTTTAAAAAAGAGCATAATTTGGTGGTATTTGTGCATTCACTTTTTTTTATCTAGATCAATAAAATATTTGTGTTCGCGGATCCTGCACCCACTGAGGCTGAGTTTGAGGCAACGAGAATAATGAGTTTGGGACTGTGGCCAAGCCAATACATCATCTACTAACATGAGCAAAACAGGCATGTGAGCTGAAAGTTGTGCAAAATACTAACAAGAACTCAAAGCCTCAGCTGTCGGCTGCAAGACCTTTCTTACTGCTATAGGAAGGAAGAAAAGGTTGTGAACAAAATGTGCTCAAGGGGAAGGATAAAAGCAGGAGGGCAGGAGATTCAGGGTAAGAGGGGCGATTTGATAATGAGACGAAGGGAGAACAAGGTAATGTCTGAGGATATCTTAATCTTCATCCCAATTTTCTAGGATGAATTCCCTTTGGGTAGGTGGCAGTGCGCGCGCACACACACACACACACACACACACACACAGGCAAACAAGGGTGTAGTATGAATAATTATTATGTCCTAGATGTGGTGGTAATGTTGCTTCAAACATATTGGCCGCAGCATCCATGAACTTGTGTTTCTGTTGATGTTACCGCCTTATCGTTAAGGACCATTAGCACATAAAGCTATTTTTTCCCCACTTTACATTCTGACAACAGGACAACAGAGACAACCAAATCCTTAAGCATCAAAATACTTAAAAGACATACAAATAGAGTACGCACAAGGGATACCTACATTGAAGCTGAAGTGATTACTACATTAATTGTTCAGTTGATCCACAGAAAATTTATCAGCAACTGTTTTGATAAAATATCACTTTCCATTGCTTTCGGAGTTTTATTAAACATATATTGGATATAATCGTTATTATATTACTATTACAATTAACAGTAATTGTTAGTTACACCATTAGTCAACATCTTGATAATCTATAATCAATATTTAATGACATGTACTCCTTCGCTGGGGCAAGATGTGGTACCACCAGCTTCAAGCACCAGCACAAGCATATTGCAGTACATCAACAGAAACGGCGAGTCGCATAACTTGGGTTTAAACATCCACAGAGATCTGGTGAACCAAATTAAGAGGACAAATAAATTAAGGGGACAGATTTGCATTTAAAATGGTGTTTGTATTATTGTGTAAATGTATCTGTGTTCATTCCCATTACAACTAGTAAAATAGCCAGAGATTGCTACAACTGCTGCTGCTTGGAATGATTAAAAAAAGCATGCTAACATAAAGACACACATGCAACGTACAGAAAAAAGACACGTTTGAGCACGTATTCGCTCTCACACAAAAACACACAAACAAACAGTGCTAATATAAGCTGTTGTCGGTCAGTTAGCTCATTTGTCCCTGGTCGTGGCTCATGTGAAAATGAAAGAGGCGAGAAATTGGCCGTGTAGCTGGGGGGAAAAAAGCATGAGATGAAAGGGTGCTTGTGTATTTTTTCAACTTCAGAGATCAAGCCGATGAGTTGTAGAACCCTGCGGCACTGCACACATG